ACTGTCAAAATCTAAAAATGAATTAATATCAACTTATGATTGAAAACTGATTCTGTATATATAATGTATATTATATATTTATATATATATTATATAAGGTACTTATTCTTTATAAATTAAATTTTAAAAATGGTATACTGTCACTGTCTCATTAAAAAATGCAAGTCATGCATTTTATAAAAAATGGTTGAAACATAGATAACAAAATATAATGAATTTTGTCACTAAAAATGATTTAAAAGCTTTTACAAGTTGTTGCAAATATAAAATAAACATAATAAATTACTGTCATATTTATTTAACTTATGTCAATACATAAATTAAGAAAAATTGGGAATAATTAAAAATTTTAAATGTTTACAAAAGATAAATATAGTAATACATTTACAAGCAAATATCTAATTATGTTGACATAGTATTTTATGAATTAATTCTAAAAAATAGTAAAATATATTTAACTATAAGTTTAATGATAAAATTCGTTTTATTAGTTACTACGTCATATTTGGACATTTAATAAATATTATTATTATAAATTATTTAAATTCTCAATTAAATATCTACTTACTATCCAATTTTTCATTTTTTATAAAAATAATACTTCTCTTTAAAATTTTTATCTCATTTGAGATGAATTAAGTAAAAATAAAAATTAATTTTATTAATATTTTGGATTTTATTTCATATTTTATGTTTAATAATATTTAAACAGCTTAAATTATTTTTTAATTTGTTAAAATAATGTAACTTTTTTTTTTGTTAATTATTACAGTTATAAAACTATAATTATATGCAGAATTTATGAGGATGAATAAACTACTTCTCCAAAATTTGATTTATTTTATATCAGAATACGCCAAATAGTATTTTGCTTCGAAATATAAAATTAAAAATATATTTTATTGTATAAGAAAGCAAAAAACTTAAAAAAATTATATCAAAATAGAAAAATTATTATTCTTTTAGACAACTCTTTTGATTTTATTTTTTTTATAATCATGTAAAAAAATATTTTTAAAAACGTTAAAAGTTTTCAAGATAATGAATGATTCATGATAAAAAAAAAATCACTATTTATTATACGACTATTGATTATGTATACAATAGTTATGAACTTGTAATGTGGTATAAGTAAATTTTTTTTTATTCTTTCAGTTAAATAAAAATTATTTTTTTATGTGGTTCAAAACATCATACATATATATTATAATTATATTTAATGATATTGGCGATTCCACAATTTTTCATTGAATCGAATGATAATTTTTTTACGTAAAATCTACATAAAGAATCTATGGTTAACTAGAATCCTTCATAAGTTTAATATACTAATGATGTAGATTTATAACATTTTAGACTTGTGCCATATTTTTAATACAAAGTATAATTTAATACATGTTACTTGTACGTGGTAATACATTCACAGAGCTCTGAAAGTGTTTTTAAAATTTTCCGAAATTTCGGAGATGCTTAAAGCCGCTGCAGCTTAACCCGAAGTAGCCCCTCATCACATCACGCTGATTCATGGATAAAATAATCTAAATAGCTTTTAATTACTAAAGAAACTTTTAGTTTTTTTTCTATAAATAATAATAAAAAATGTATTGCCTAATCAAAATTATTAAAAATGTTTAAAACATCCCACATAAGGTTTCTGTACAAATATTATAAAAATACATAGGACATTTTAAGTTTAAATCGTTACAAAATCGTTTTCAAAATCAAATTCACAAAAATTTACAGACTAAGAGTATTTTATATTATATAATTTATCAAATTTTCAACTCGTATAGGTAACGTTTAAAAATGTTATTTAATGTTTTTCTTAAATAGTTCACATAAAATTAAAAACCTAAAAATGTATAATCACAATTATTTTTAGTGGATATTTAAGATTCAAATATTGACAAAATCGTAATAATAAATAACGATATTAGTTGTTTATTATTTTTTTATAATTGAAAAATATTATTTGTTGGGACTTAAATTTTAATGTATTTGGATTCAACTATATGCAATGATATTTTCAAAATATGTAAATTAATATCTAATTTTAAGATATTATTTATTTAATATTTGTAGTTTATACTATGAACTTATATTCACTCTGTTTTACAGTGGGGTGGTATTGGTTCAAAAATTAATAACAATAATATTAAAATATGGTATAAAATACCAATATACTCAATAATATAGGCTGATAAACCGTTTCCGTTCAGAATCTATCTTCGTTAACTATTAATAATGATACATAATTGAATTTAAATAACACATTCATTATAGTGAGATCACAATGTATTTCTTTTCGATACAGTAGATCGTTACCCACTAGTCAATCTTTTTCAGTTTTAAGACAAACGATCACCTGGCCGTGAGGTTACACATTTTTTCCATCACGACAATATGATTAATAACTGACGACTGATACTATTTAATTAATTGATTTAAACAAATCAAAGACTAATAATAGGTACTAAATAATTAGTAAATTATTAGTTATAACTAGTTTATACTCGTATAAATATATGATAAAAATCGTACCATAGCATGATCAAAAATAGATTACTAAGAAAATGTTGTATTTAATTTCTTTAATAATTATTCCACTCGAAATAACCTTATAATAGCTAATAATCAGTCGTTTTTGAGCAATATTTAAATAAATATAGGGTATTTGATTATATGAGAAAATAGTACATCGAAGGTTATATTTTCTTAATTACAGTACTATTTTGTTTTTACATTTTAATTTTTTCCTAATTCATTTTCATGTGCGATAGCTACTTACTCTAACAATAATAGAATACTTAAATAATTCCTATAAACTACTAATTTTAAATTTTAGATCTATACACTTTTTTTGGTGCTAAGCTATTTAGTAAATTATTCTTTTTATAATTATTTATTATACTATAAACTGTAAATAGATATTATTAGTCCGGATTTTTAAGTAAAAATCTATTTTTTATTACGTATTTAACGTGTCTATGTCATTGGAATAATAATTGTAATTATGTTTCATAACTAGTAGAATCTATAAAAAAAATAAAGGGTTTTTGCATATTTCATTGATTCATTCTCGGAAAATAAAATTAATTTAACTTAACCCAACCTAAACAAGAGCGAAAAAATGTGATTTGAAAAATATTAAATCATTCTATTCCAAAACGCAGGAAAATAAATCAGTTAGTAAGTACCTGCATTTTTTTTTTTTTTTTATGGTAATTGATGAATCGTTTTCAAATTTTTCCAATACATTTTTAAGCTGTCAAAATGAGTTTATATAAAAAAAACAGGATCCAGCTAAATTATCCATGTTGACAATACAGGAGTAGGGTTAATGACACACCAAGTAAAATACTTTAAACGCTTCCGAAGCTTTTTAATAATTTTTTTTTAAATTGAAACTTAATTTGTTTACTGCGGAATGTATTTTTCTCCCTAACTTTTCTTGCAATTCTATTTAGCGTACGATCAATACAAGTTACGCGTATCATATTATATAGAATACTTTCAAATAATCATCAGTTTTCACCATTTATGGAAATGTATCTATTAACATCAATTATAATATGTTTTTTTCATTTTTACCAAGTGGTCATAACATTTTTAAAGTATAATTCATAAAACGCGCCATAGTGGGATGATGTGTATAATATGAATTATATTATGTATTTATGTTTATGGTTAGATTTCGTGCAGATAATGAAAACCAACAATTTATCATAGTAAGTTACCTAGTAATAATAACTAAATATTATAGCTTAATTAAATGCTCAAAAATATTTTCTTATATAAACCAATACAGCGAAAATATATTAAAATATTCTATAATATTTGTATGTACCATAAATTAGAATATTTCGAAATATTCTTTAAATTCAAAATTAACTCTAACACTCAAAAACAACTTTTTTTATATAGATTCTACTAGTTATAAAATTCAAACACTTCTTACACTGAATATGTCCATTAAAAATGTTCTCACATAAAAATCTGAACTAAAGTCATGTCATTGAATTTACTTAAGCATGTGATTAAAATGCCAACTATATACATATGTAACGTACGATTACCTATACTAGATTGGTTAAGTTATCATTTATTATACATTTAAAATACTTCTTGTTAAAACCGTTTAATCTAATTTTGTCAAAGTTTTTTTTTATTGATAATATGTGTGTACCATTGCACCAATCTATTTAGTTGATTTTGAATTGAATTTTAGACACACATTCAAAATACTAGATATAAATTATTAACATGTATTTATAATTTGAGCTTTGGATTATTCTTATTAATTTAATATAATACTTGACTATATTATTTTCAAAATCGCAAAGACAATTTAATATACTTATACTAGTATCAAAGTATTAAAATAAATTAAATGATTTACAATTTATTTCATTTTAATTAATAATCTAGAATCTAAGTGTATATACAAATAAGCATACAAAAATGTTAAATTCCTTGTATTATGTTGTTATAATGAAGTATATGACTTACAATCTATATGAAATTAAATTACCAATATCAAGTAATAATAAAGTAGGTAGTTATTTGTATAAGCTAATAACTAAATAATTCATGGTTAAATATTTTCTTAATTTACGTAATTATTATTTATACTTCTTTATTGTATTCAGACTTAATTTCACTTGCTATTTATTAAAACTGTAAAAAAATAATGAATTAAAAAAAAAAAAAAATGTCTAAGTTAGAAAAACAATACAAATTTATTTTAAATATTTACTCTTAGTAAAATAAAAGTTGTGCAAATTATAAAAGTTATATTTTTATATAAGTATTGAATAGGTATTTTGGTTTTAAAACCTATTGAAAAAGTATTGATTAATCATTATATCAGTTATCGTCATCTATATTTATAATTCTAATTAAATGTAGAATTGTTTTTTTAATAAATTAATATATCATTCAATATTTTATTATATTCTATAGTATATAAAATCATTAGTATTTATATTATTTGATTTCAGAAATCACAAGAGTTGTACACCCAGTAGAAAAACCAAGGTTGTAAAATGATCAACATAAAATAATATATTTAATATGATTAACAAAAAACACATGCAAAGGGTAAATAAAATAATTTTTTCGTACCTATTTAAAATTTACATTTTATACGTTTTTATAGTACAATATATCTATGTGACTATGTATAACTATAAAATAGTGTTTTGATCAAAATAATTAAATAAAACTTTGATAAAATAGTTGCATCATTTGCAGCACTTAAGTATTGTTAAGTTTTATTTCATCAGACGTCATGAGGTGTCGTTAAAAATTAAGAAAAAATGTATATTTATCCATACGTTTTAACTTAAAGCTAAAATAGTAGGTAGATACAATACCTATAATAATATTGTTAGTGGTGTTAAAATGTTTCATTGTTTGAGTTATAAAAGACAAAAACACCATAGAAAGGTACAATGTTATCAACACAATAAATCGATTATAGTACTATACTCTTAATACTAAATTTATTTGTTTTATATTTAATCAATAAATGATTAAACAGAAAGATTTTAGTATAGACGTATAGTGTACCTATAGATCGTGAGTTTGAATAGATACAAATTGGAAAACACATAGTCTTTCTAAAAAATGTCATCTTCAATTTCCACTGTTAATATCAGTCTATATGAATATGAAACTACGTAAATATAATATTATTTTAAACTTAAAATAAATCACGTATAAAAACATAACAAAATAAAAATCATATTTGCAAAAAACTATACGCAGAGGTTCTCCGTTAAAAAAAATACTTTAAAAAAGCAAGAAGAACAAATCTGATATTGACACATTTTTCTGTTGCTTTTCAAATAAAAATTACGGATGTGTCACTCTTATTCTTGCTGACACGCGAGACATTTCTATGTAAACACCCACAAAATGAATTTTATGCAATATATTTTCTATATCCTATATCATCTTATATGTAAAATATATTATATACATGTGATATGTATACGAGTATTCTATTTCAAAAAAAAAAAAAAAATTAAAAAATTGAATAGTTTGTAAAAATAAAAAACTTCACGTAATGTTAAATTTTGTTTTAATTTTGTCCTATCTATTGTAAAGTGAATTATGTCCTTAAAAAGTTTAAAACTACATTAAAAACGCAATGAAACTCAGAATAAGAAACATAAGTCTGTTCCACAATAATAAAAAAAATCATTCCGCTTACACATACACACACGCACACACACAGACACATTGACACATATTATTATACTACTATGAGTACAGCTCATAATGCATGTTTAAAACGTATATTAAATATTACATATAGGTTGATTCAACTCAAGTATATTTACCCACCATTATTTTCGTTAAAAATGAATTCATTCAAATTTTGATTTTTAGAATTTTTAATTATACTTAAGGACTATATTATTCTCAAATATTTAGATTATTTACAATATTTAAGGACTATCCTGTTGTCAAACAAACTTTATTTTTCAAATAATTAAAATCAACTTTTTTGTTTCTGTAAGTTTTTAAGCGGATAATTTTTCAAAATTTTAATGTGGGTATCTAAATCTAAATTTAAACGAGTAATCTTTAAAAATGGCATTACAAAAATATAAAATAGACGTAATCCTCTAGCATTTGTTAGATTCGGAAAATGTTTACGAATTACAAAATGTCAATAGATTAGTTTTAATAATAAATTATAATTTTGAAATCGTAATATGCAGCCCCGATATTGCTTACTCTCTAATCATTTTATTATCATTAATACACAAAGTAAAATAATCCGAAAATCACTCGTCCAATATCGCTTCAAATCGCGTAGGTGTACCTATTTAATAATTTACAGATCCTCGTTTGAAAAAATAAGTCGCTATTGTCGTAGGACGCTTCTTAAATGGTATGCGATATCTGTGCGTTTGAAAACGTGGCACTTGAGCGTACTTGATAGAAAAAAAAAAAAATTCGAATTCGAATTCGAATGAACAAACCATTTAAGAGAAAATCGGGGATGAGCTTACTCTGCTGTACATCGCCTTATCCACGTACACATACATGCATATACGTGGATAAGATACACCACACGATAATAATAATACTGCAGGCGCCGAGAAAGAGTACCTACGCATTTTCGCTACAGGGGTCGCGAGCTGCAGCCCGCGTATATACGTGAGGCGTTGGCGACGTTTCGCGAATGAGCTTTTCACAATAAACGGCACCCGCCGAGCGCATCGGCCAAAGCGCGCGCGCACGGTTTAGTGTTGTATCGGCTTCGCCGGTGGTATATTATACGTTACCATTGCGCCGTTCAGTCGTCAAGTCAACGTCATCTGCTCGTGCGATAACCATAATATACAATTATTAATATATTCGACGCGATATCCGCCGACTTCCGACAGACATTAATATATTTCGTTTTCTTTAAATTTCTTTGTCTATTTCATTTTTGTACGTTAATTAATCCGCACGAATTCCGGTATACGTCGACGGAACTCGTTCGAGTATAATATTATATACGTTTGGATTAACTAGATTAACAATCGCGAGCAATTTTAGCCCTGTAAATCGTATATTGTTGTTGTGAACAAATATTAAAATATTATAATTCACAATATTTATTTTAACGAGTACGACTCTGCGCTTTTTGTCCCGAGAAATCGTTATATATAAATATATATATATATATATAACCTATCTATAATTAATACTATATTATTGTTTTTAATTCATTTTTCATTTTTTCATAATTTTTTTTTTTTTTTTTTTTAATTTTAATTTTCTATATCACTTGTTATATAAAATGTCCGCCATGGGTTTTTGCTGTTGTTACAAACAGGCAGATATGATGAAGTGCGTCGACACAATTGTGGACAAGTGTACGGACCCAGGATGTAAGTATATAAATACAACTCCTTATTCATTATATAAAAAAAAATTAAAATCTCCTATTATTATTATTATTTATTTTTTTTTTTTTTGCCGACGAACTATCCAATGTGATTAATAATATATTTTAGTCTCGTACCTACTCTTGCTTTCATATCATAGAAGAAACTTGAAAATTACGTTTGATCAAATAAAATCAGGGTGTAAATCAAGCTTTCCCTTAAATGCCGTAGTAATTTCTTTTAAGTGTACATATTCCATTCACTGAAATCACATAAATCTTGTTAGAATACTATTACTCACAAAATCTCATATTTTAAATCAATTATATATAATAAACACTTGATGCTTTTTAATTTAAAACAATTTTAACATAAGCAATACCTATACCTAATGTAAGTTAATAGATAAACACTGATATTATCTTAATATTTAATATAAAAAACAACTTTATTGATATTACCAATACTTGATAAATATACACGAGTATAAACATATTTTCCACTACTCAAATTTTATTTAAAACCGATGTTTTACTATACAAATGAGTTTATAAAAATTATTTTTTAAGTCAATAAGTTGTCATCGCAATATTGGAATAATGACATATTTATATACTAAATTATAATTCAATACAAAATCAGTATGTCCATTTTAATATTAACATCAATAATATAATGTTAATTGACCTTAACATATAATTACAAAAACTATACATGCTAGACATATAAAACTTTTTAAGCACTTTGACTGTGGTTTAAAATAATTAGCTATATTTAAAAAAATAAAAAACTCCAATAATTGTATTAAACTTAATATTTTTACTAAACATTTAGCTCAAGATGGACGAAAAATTCTAAGCTTACTAAAAAAAAATATGTTGTAATAATTATTGTATAGTACCTATACCTATGTGTTTTTATTTTTATAACCATAAATTTCAAACACTTTTTTTTCATTTTATCATGACTATAAAATTTTTTAGGTATTATTAACATCTGCAATAGCTTAATAACTGATTTGGAAATTATATTTAAAGATTAAACGTTTTTATTATTGTGAATAATACGCAACTATTGTGATACACAGTTTATTTTCTACATATATTTCACTTGATAATAATTTTTTTTTAATTTATTTGAATTGTCAAACTAAAAAAAATTAATATTTTTATTTAAATTTCTTTATTTTATAATTTAAAAAAAAATTATAATTTGATTTTTTTCAAAGTCAATAAGGGTGAAACAAACCGCATAATTCTACTTTCCATAAATATTTCTTCTAATATTTAATTTTCTGCATATTTCTATTCTATAGATAGAAATGAGTAAATTATTGATGGAGTCCAAAATCGTCACTCACAAAAAAATATAAAAGAGATTAATAATAATATGTAATAATCGTATATGTCTAAGGTTTTTACCGTTGATTATTCAATATTAATATCAGGTATTCTTTCATGTATGAAAACAAAAAAATAATACAATTAATTTTACATTGTAAATCACTATTTATTGAAATTATAGTATGGCCATACTGGCAATAGCAGCAAAAACTGCACCTGGCCATTATTCTACCTGTGCCTACCTATAATATTAATTTATCATACAGGTCAAGGACGCGACTTGTTAATGTGACAATATAACCATTTAGCCATCACACCAAATAAGACGTGTTTTCTATGTATATGTGAACAATACGTGTATCAATGTATATAGTAGTTAGTAAATACAAAATACATCTGATTGACGTGCAGTATTTAGGGATATGTGCGGTACTCGTTGTCACATATCATAGCCCAACCATAACCCAAGCAAATTGTGTCTTTATATATACAGAGACAAACCTTCTTACCTCCAATGTTTTAATTAATGGTAAATGTAATACAAACATGTTGGTGTTTATAACTTGTATTTATATATTTAAAAACCATATTCAAAAAAACTTGAATTTTTTTATGTGATATTACTGTATTAGGAGTGTGGCAATGTAGACATATTTTTTTAAATGTAAACCACCCTTTTTATTGATAATTATTATTGATTATTGTTTTTGAAAACTTTAATGTATTTAAATCAATATTTGTTTTAATGTATTTTCTGAGTTTATAAGTCTTAAGTACATAAGGTGTAAGGATAATAATAATTAATAGAGTCCATTATAATAGGTTTAATAGATATAAGGGCTTTACTGATTTTAAAAT